ATAGATTCATAAAAGAGGCTAATGATCTCCTGCCACTTGAAGGATGAAGATGGTAAACGATGACTGATTTTTGTTTTGTTTTGATTCTGCCAGGCAGGCTGATGACTTTATATTCTGTGTCCATGGCTCAATGACCCACAAATCTCCTTTGATATGCCAGGCAGCAGAGAGAACCAAGCTGAACGGATCAGAAGGAAAGTGAAAGCGCTTCAGCAAGCCCCCCCCCCCGAACCCTCCCTCAATGAAGCCATCATGTGACAGGAATCCTAAGACTCTGCTGTGAAAGGGGGGGGGGGAAGGGAATAGGGCATTGTGGTGGCACAAGCTGATAGAGACGTCAGAGCCGCTTCAGTAATCTCATGACGCTTTGGCCCAGTGTGGGGGCAAATGAGGCCCATATTCAGCATGGCGTGACAGGTAGGACCACCCCGAAAAAGCTGTGAGGGGGCAGGCAGTTGGACAAATCAAAGCAGAAGAAAGTAATTTTCGATAAATTAAAGAAATCTCCATGGAAATTAGCATGAAACATTTTCTAATCTCCCGCTTTTCACTGCCGACAAGGGTCACTGGTTTAACTTCTCTCTCTTATTTTATTATTCCCCAGCCACATTCCTCTGCTTTTTTTATACCCTTCAATTTTTACTACCTCTTTTTCTTCCAGTCTATCATTTTTAGCCTTCCTTACAGCAGCTTCTTAACCCTTTTAGGACTTCCCCTGTTAAATATTCTCAAGAATTAACTGATCCGTGGCAGTTTAAAAGACATGCTCCAAAGCAGTTGCCATTTCTAAGAATCTGCCTATTGAGTGGGCCGTCATTTTAACTGTGATCAAAGTCTAACATTCCCTTCATTGCAAACATTGAAAACGATGGTTTGTTTTGTTTTTTTGCAATCTCCTTTAAACTTATAATTAGACCACTAATGCTGTTCGAAGCCTACAGCAAGTGCATTGTTGGAGGTAACATTGCTAAGCCGGAACATGATCACTTTTTAGTTATTTCAAATTTGTATTTAAAGTATCTTTCTCTTTCTCTCTTTGCTATTCTGTCTTTGAGGGGCTTTGGAATAATTCCTTTTCCTTCACACCTTTGTTTTAGAAGTTCAAATTTGGGCCCATGTTTTAAATTAAGTTGATCTGGGGATTTATACTTTTTAAAAAGGTAGCAACGTCTTTGTTAGTGAATCTGAGACAGGAAAGAGGCTGTCATGTAAATAATGGTTACATGGATAAAGGAATAACATTTCTCACAGGGTAACTTTCTAGTGAAGTGCATTAAACAAATAAAACTACAGCGGGCCATGATACAACATTTAGGCTAAAGAGAGATAGAAAACAAAAACAGAAGCATGTACTGTTTACGAACTAAACAGCTTAAATTCCAGATGTATAATCTAATCATTAGAATGTTTAATTTCAAGAAGAATACTGGGTCAAATCTACAGCGGGGGTCAAACTCATCCTTTATAACTCCTTAGCGGTAAAATGGAGGTTATATGCCACATAACAAACCCAGTAAGTCTTTTTGTGCAGGATCTATGCAAGAAAGATTTTCAAGACCTCCCCTGAGCAGGGTAAATTTGACAAGCTGAAGAGATCATAATAGTGTTGCACAGAAAAGTGAAAATTTTAAAATGATTATTAAGGATGATGTAAATAGTGATGGCAAAGTTAGTTAAGTCTTCCCCCCCCCTCCTTCCCCCAAACTCCCTTCAGTGCTAGATGGTATTGCCTGTGAGAACAATGACCCCAGATGATTCATGATAGGGTATAAGAGTGTGTTTCTTGGAACGGTTTTGATAAAAAGTGGTCCAAATGTGTCATTTGCCATCAATATGGAAAGGAGTTATATTTAGAATGATAACTGGTAGAGTTTCTATCAGTTTTACTACTTGCACAAGCAGTGTGCTACATGTCTCATTTTCTTGAACAAGACAGATGCCTCTGGTGTGAAAAATACAGATGTTAGAGTATACAACAGACAACTGTGGTTTATCAAAAATACACTACTGGCACTGACTGATGTCAGACTTAATCATTCAGCATTCTAGTGGGAGCGAGTGAATTATTGGGTCTTAGTCATGAGTAGTTTATGTTTAAAAAGTAATACGTCATCTTGTTTCTTCTTTATAGGGTTTGGAAACTATTGAGCAGACAGCAATGCCTGAGGCTTTAGGTAAGAAGCTGAACAGAACCCAGAAGTGAAGGTGCACAACAAGAGCGTATAGACATGGACAAGTATCCATGTTTTTTCTGAAAAAAATGTCAATTCAAGAAAAAAGTCAGCATTAGAAAGATTACATTGAAACATGGAGCCCTCGGGGTGAGGGAGGGGGCAGGAGGCGGGGGAGGAGATGGAACCTATGTTTATTTGAAAAATAAATTTCCATATGTAATCTCAGCAAAATATACATTACTTAACAATTATGTGTTTAAATCTAGGCATAGTTTAACAAACAGATTCTTAATTTATTCACTGCTTATCATATTCTAGATGATGTTTAAACAACATTACCCACACACACACAGAGCACTGTTTTATTAGTTTAGCGGAAATCACCTGTATAAAGAAATTATTTTTATTCCACCATTTGCTTTTAGCAATCATAAATCAGGTGGTACACACCCGTGTTTGGGTTCACCAAACTGAATAATTCATTTCTTCTGTGCTATGTGCTTCTTTCAGTAATAGTGTACTAACAAGGCATTAAAATTGCTCAATATTTTGTAACATGAAATATTTATTTAAAATTGTTCAACAAAAAAAATTATATCAAGCATGTCCATAATTTGATGGAAAAATACTTTCCCTTTAAATAAAAAAATGACTAGCGTGAACCCAGGTAAAATGAAAAGAAGAAGGCATGTCTTGAAATTATCAAGCCAAACCTGAAACTTATTTATATAAGCTACCCAGCTGAGATCAAATTTGAGGTCTGTGGGGCTGTTAACTCAAGTAACATTTGAAGGATCACTGTATTGTGCAAAATGACTATCATCTACACACAGCTCAAGTGCAAAGCTAGAAATTTGAACACACTGTTGATCGCATTAGGAGTCACAGAGATGCAGTACATTGTCCCACTCACTCTAAAACCATTGCTGCCAAGTGTCCATGATTACATCTCAGAGATCTTGAGGAGGGAATCTTTTGGAACATAATAAATAACCGTCTTATCTTGCATATTTTTGAAAATTTGCCCATCAAGGAATATAATTTTTGAGAGGTAATATTAGTTACCAGTTAGCTCAGCACCCCATAGGAGTGGGTCCTGTATACCTCTATGGTGAATTTCTGTAAATATAGGATCTGATTCAATAAAAATGATCAAAGGGCTGGAAAGAATGGGCCATGTTCTCCAGGGTGGCTGTTTGCATGACACCACTGGCCAAATCTGGCTCTAAAGTTGCTCAGGTGACCCAGGTAGAATCAAACCAGTGTAAGGATAAACTTCTGGTGGCTGAGATCTGACATGGGGGACTCTTACACCACTTACCCAGCCTCCTATTGGCATAGCGGGGGTAAGTGGGTGTGGCCAAAATGATCCTGCACCATACCAATCTTAGGCTGCATATTTTGGCCCCTTGTGACTATCTGTAGTTAGCTCAGGAGAAAGACCCTGCACCGGGGACACAGTGGTAGCAGGATCAGGGGAATGCAAAGGTACACATTAAAACAACCTCGCACCCCTTGACCTGATGCATTTCAGCTGCACCTTAAAATCTAGCCCACTGACCTATAAGGAAACATGAACAGGAATGAAGATGTATAATTTGGTTAAGTGATTAATAAGGAGACCATGACACCAGTCTGCAAGTATTTGAAGGATGTAGAGGAGTTCCTTAAGGAAGGGAAGGGGACTGCATGTAACTAGGAATAAGAAAATGAAATTAAGGAAGAAATACATATTGGTGTTCCCAACTGGGCCATATCATGCCATCAATAGTGAAGCAGAGGATGCTCAATGAAGTCAGCACAGAATTCTGCTTAAAAAACAAAGATACCGGTGAGATCCATCAGGCTGTGGAATTATCCTCTAGGCTAGGGGGAAAAGTGGAAACCCATCATTTGAGACATTTGAAATTAGTCTGGACAAAACAGGAGTGCAGAGATCAATCCTGCAGTGGGATAGAGTAGGACTACGGAGGAAAGGTAGATGACTTAGTAAGTCTTTTTTATCTCCAGCCTCTATGATTCCATGCCTTCTGAATCATGGATTTTAATGATCACTGGGAGTCTGAGTAGGAATCCAGATTTTATTTTCATTTTTAACTCAGAGACAGATCAAAACCTGTTGGGTCAAAAAAGACCCTAAACAACCTCAGAAACAAGCAGCATATTGGTAAGGAAAACCTTTTATTTATGTGATAAATGTAATGTTTTTTAAACTCTGGTGACTGGACTAAAATGAAAGAACTGAGAAAGAAATCTACATTGGTAGATACAAGTGCCTGGAATATCTTCTTGGAAGTGGCAAGATTGGTGCACAAGTGGAAAACTCAAAGCAATTTAGGATTGCCTAAAACAAGATAACAAGAAATCCACTGTCTCCTTAGTTCAACAGGATAGTACTTCATATTTATACCACAGTTTAACACCATCTCAGTACCTAAGATTTCCTATACTGTATAGAATGAGGAATCTGAGAAGTTATTCCTGTATCGTATGATCCATTTACATAAATGTCCTCTCAATTAGTCCAGACTTTGAGAAGCCCCTTAAAGTCAGGTGGCTAGCCTCTTTAGTAGAGAGAAACATAGTTTTACTGCAGGAAGAGAATGGTCAAGAACAAGCAATTGACTTCACTAGTGTGAAACTTTTCTCCCAAGAGACTCGTTATTCAAGGACTGAAAAAAGAATGGCTTTCCATCAAATGGACTTTGGAGAGTTTCAGGTACTATCTCCAGGGGCAGGAACTTGTATTAGAGACCAAATAGAGATGTCTACACTAGAATGAGAGAGAGAGATAATTTGTACCGTAGAAGATGGTACCTGTCCCTGCAGCCATATACATTTACCATTTTTCATTGACCTTGGCAACAGAATATGGCAGTATATTTTTTCATGAGCAGAGGAATCTTTTCCACTTTCAGGAGAGGGACAAGGTAATGTAATGACGAGGGCTCTTTAACTCCTGTAAGCTGGAGCATGGCTGGACAGATGGTTTTCACTCTACCTAACCTAACCTTTCCTTGTCTCACTCAATCACTCCAGCAGCATTATTTGTCCTTTATCTCCATGCCTGGACTGAGATTCATCTGGAATGAATCTAGTTTATAGGGTGGGAATCTGGCAATGGGAATGGAGGTATGCAGCAGCAAGACCATATTGTAGCATGTCCTTTGAAATGAGAGCCTGCGAGGTGCTAAATATTGAACTCTTCCATTTTCCTTGGCATGTGGTTCGGGTTTATTGGTGATTCTGATGGATCTGCACCTGGGGAAAGATTTTGATCGCGTGAGAAAGAAGCCATTTGGAAAGCAGGTTAGTAGACAGAGGGCTATGATTGGTGGAGGGATTTATGGGTGGGTTCAAGAACCTTATAAAGCAGGCTCCTTTCCCCAATTAATTCACCTAAGTAAGGGAGCCCAGAGGGAAGATCTGGCAGAATTATTAAGGTAGCCTGATGGAGACAAAGAGCGTCTGTCATGTTTCCCTCCGGTTTTGGCTGGTCATTCTCTAAAGTTGAGCAATGCTCATGGGTTTGGATTTGCCGAGTTTTGTGCAAACATTTTTTTTTCAGTTCCTCCCCAAACCTTAAATCCTTTGTGCTACATTCTGCCCTCACTTACATCCCAGAAATCCTGTTTTGTATTACAAGGAGTTGTCCAAGTGTAGGAAAGCACAGAATTTAAGTCCTCCTGTTTAAGCAGAGGCTTTTCCCCTCTGCAATGAAAACCCCCCCAAAACTATCCCTTTCTGTGAAGAATAGCCCGCATACGGGCTGGAAAGTCCAGACTTGAAGCTCATGGAGTTTATGTAGAATCATCCTGCTGGGGAGTGCCTCACCATGGAACAGGAGCGTGCACCTCCAACATTTCCAGGGAATGTCAGATCTTGGGACATCTTCAGGTGGCTGGAACATTCGCTCACATACTTAGGTGCTTCAGCACTATTGCCTGGCTTCTCCCATTCCCTGTCTCATTCATGACAACATGACTTCCTTGGGACCCATGTTCCTCTGGACTGCTGACTCCCTACAAAACTACATCACTGCTTGGGTGGCAAAATCCCTACAGGGGAATGGAGGAGGAGGAGGAGGTCACAAAGAGCAACTAGTGCCTTAGCTCTCATACAGTACAGCAACACTTTATCCTTCGAAAGTGTGTAGCCTCCATTTTGCATGGGAGGTTTCTATAGCATGAGAGGAACTGAGGAGGAGCATGGGGTTTAGGCTCAATCTCCACATAGGTATCCAAATAAAAATGGATTAAATCACTAGAATTTCCACTGTTTTAATCTCCTCCAAATGAAAAAAATAAACCTGACTGGATGATTTGGCCCAGTCTGTATTCTCCTCCTGTTGGATTCTGTAGGCCAGGGGTCGGCAACCTTTGGCACACGGCTCGCCAGGGTAAGCACCCTGGTGGGCCTGGCCGGTTTGTTTACCTGCCGCATCCGCAGGTTCGGCTGATGGCAGCTCCCACTGGCCGCGGTTTGCCGCTCCAGGCCAACGGGGGTGGCGGGAAGCGGCGCAGGCCGAGGGATGTGCTGGCTGCTGCTTCCCGCCACCCCTATTGGCCTGGGACGTGCCGTGGCCAGTGGGAGCCGTGATCAGCCGAACCTGCGGACACGGCAGGTAAACAAACCAGCCTGGCCCGCCAAGGTGCTTACCCTGGTGAGCTGCGTGCCAAAGGTTGCCGACCCCTGCTGTAGACAATACATCCATGACATCACAGATACTTCCATGGCAAGAGGTGTAGAATTATGACTACAAGACTGAACAGAAGGAAGATATGAGGGGAAACTCCCTTCAAAAAAGGTGATTTCAGAAAAGGGAAATGAGGAAGTCTAGCTATCTACATTTTGTAGAAACCTCACCGCTTTTCCAGTCTTTAAATAGACTTTATTGCAAAGGGTGTGATTCTGCTCCCACTTACACTGTGCCAATCAAGAGTAAATCCACTAAGTTATTTGAGTTTTAAACCAGTTCATAGCCAGCATGAAATAAGAATTAGACCCCAACCATATATACAGTACAGTACTGTATGTGTGTGTGAATAATTAATTGAAGTTATAATTATATTACTCATTATAGTGGCAGAGAATTTTATTACTTTGGTGAAAGGTTAGTTAGGCTTTTTTCTGTTTTGACTGTTTCAGCACATCAGGCAGTAATTTAGCATTCAAGCTCAAAGTCTTTTTTTTTTAAATGAAAAATTGTTTAGTGCTCCCGGGGAGAAAAAACAAATTTCCCTTTACCTGGTTCACCATTTTTTGCTTAAGGGACAACGGATTGCTGAGTTGGCTCCCGGAAAAAAATTGCTTCGTTGTACAAAAGGAAAGTTTGCATTAAATCATTTCAACTCTTTGAGAATTTTTTTTTGCATTTTCTTTCTCGTAACATTACTTTTGAATGTGAGATGGAAGCAGTTTTGCTAGTGATCATATAGCAAGTCCAATTCAGTATGGATGCGCTTTTTAACTTGTCAACGATCCTTATCCCCGCAACCATCCAAACAAATTCTCCTCTTCCTCCCTCTTCTCCTCTCGCTGTAATGATTATGTTCACAGTGCACACAGAAAAGGTAGATAAAACCATAAATACTCTTGCAGGAAGGTTGCAATGTACCATTACTTTATTTCTTAGAATTCAGAACAACAACACACAAGAACCCCAAAACAGAGAGAGACGAAGCAGGCTTCTCCCTAAAACAGAGAGGCACAACTCACCCCACCTTACTCTAGGCTGGTTGGCTGCTGACAGATGGATGCTAGACCCAGATTGCCCGCTTCCCTACAAATGTCCCCGGCCCTGCCAGCAAGCAGGGCCAGGAAACCTCCCGGAAATTTAAAGTGACAGTCTACAATTTTAACAGAGTTTTTATTATCTTAACTCTTGGGCCTGATACTACCCAGGGATCCCACTATTTTGGATGACATACTCACCCAAGTTGGTTATCCCAGGGACTGCACAAGGCTGAACATAGTTTGTGCGGTTGAATAGAGAAACTTTTTTTCTCTATTTGAAATCCCGTTAGGGCAGCTGTCCCAAACTTTTGAGCCACTCCCCTCCTTCTGTAAAACAAAGCCAATCATCTCCCCTTACACCCCACCATGGTATCAGAGCAGCATGAGGGAAACTTGCAGGTCCCTGGTTTTGTGCCCCCTCAGCTGGCCTTTCATGTTCCACCAGGGGGACATATTCCACACTTTGGGTAGACCTGCTACAGGCAAACCCACTTGCACGTTTCCTGGCAGGTGAGTTTGCCCTTTCAAAGCATGAGGAAAAATTCCTACACCACTTTGGGTGTAGCCAAGCATCATCCCTTCTCCTCTCCCCTACCCTCAAAACACGGGGGGGGGGTGGTGTGTGTGTGGAGAAATTCTGGCCTACATTGAAGTCAATGAGAATTTTGCCATCAGCTTCACTGGGGCCAGTTTTCACCCCAGATTTTCAGTCTGAGGCTGCAGTCTACTCCTTGATTCCAGCAGCAGCAGCATGAGGAGGAACTATAGTGACAAACCACTGGCTTGAGCCCCAGACTTCCATCGTTATAATCAACTCTCACGTCACTTAGGACTTCCCTGTTACTTACACTTGAGCCCCGGGTGCTCCGAAACTTTAGAGTTTACATAGATTTGGGCTTCCCTGGCAGCAGCATGCCATGCTCTCTGGGGCAAGACTAATGGGGAAGCTCCAGAGAAAGTGTAAAGTTTGAGATGATCAGCCGCTGGGCCCTGCCTAGAGCCAGCCACCTGATCTTCGAAGGCAGGGAAAGCTGTGGGGCACAAAAGAAAGCCTGGAGCATGTTTGGAGGGAAGATTGATCTAATCCGATCTGAACCTGAAAAATGGTCAGTTTAGTTCAGATAAGGAGGGTAAAGGATGATTCTGGTGTATTCTAGCCAGGAATTGACATGCTGCAGTATCTGTTGTCTGACAGTAAGATCTAATTTAGCAAGGCTGCAAGGCCATTAGTTTTAAGGTGATAGCAGCCTCTTCTTTTCCCTTTAAAGAGAGATCTTTTGATCCTGTATGGACAGTCACTGTCTGTTTCTTTCTTTGTGTGGCATAACCCATTTGTTTTACCCCGGGGATGGAGCGTTTGATCTGATTCCTGGCCTAATGGTGGAAAATAGGAACAAAATGGTGAAGATCAGGGTTTGCATTATATGCATGGCAATATAAAAGGAGCTTCTGAAGGGGGAAAAAAGTCCTTCACAGAGAAAAGATGTGTCTCTGACATGGATGTGTGTTTCTGTGTATCCCAGAGACAGAAAGTGAGTTTGTAGTTGAAGAGCTGAGTAAAATGTGACAAGATTATGGGGTTAATCAGAACCAGGCAAGCAGGGCCAGGGGAATGGGTGTCAATTGCATATGCTGTCATTACTAGGCCTAGAAGCAGTGCAGTACAAAATCCTTCCCAGGAAGAGCTTTTCAAAGGCCCAATGTCCATGGAGACTAAGAATTAAGGGTTAGATACTGGCTAGCAGAAGGAGCAGAAGCCACTCAGACCAGGGGTCGGCAACCTCTGACATGCAGCTTGCCAGGGT